AGCCAGCTGCAATAACATAGAAGTAGGTCGAGCTCTGCCAATGCCTAACCTCTTATAAATGACCAGGGGCATGAGATTAATGCTGGCCCCTAAATCACAAAGTGCCTTAGCAAAGGCATAGTTCCCAATGGTGCATGGAATTGTAAAACTACCTGGGTCAGATAGCTTTTCAGCAACAGGTCTAGATACCACTGCACTACATGTCTGAGTAAGGGTCACAGTCGACAAGTCTTGAAAGTCAAACTTCCGAGACATTAAGTCCTTCATCATTTTAGCATATCCTGGTATCTCCTTTAGAGCTTCAATCAGTGGAATGCTTATCTGGATTTGTTTGAGCATCTCTAGGAACTTTTTGTACTGCTCCTCCTTTTGATGCTTGGCCAACCTTTGCGGGAATAGTGCAGGAGGTCTTTTCTTCCCAATCACGTGAGGTTTCTCCTTCTCAGCTACTGTCTCAACTATTGGTTCCACTACTGTCTCAATTACTGGCTCAACTACTGTCTCAGTCTCATGCTGCATATTCTTTTCTTCAGGAGCAGGCTGAACTGTTACCTCTGTCAATCCCGTAGAGTCATCCAGCTCAATGGGCACTGGAATTAGTGTCTCAGCCTGTATGTTTTCTCGAGCTCTCTCTTGCTCAACATCTAGATCCCTGCCATTCCGTAGACTCACCGCCATCAGCTGCTTTGGGCCCTGATCTTTTGGATTGATTTGGGTATCTGCAGGTAATGTCCCTTGAGGACGATTGTTAAGTGACATTGAAATCTGGCCCACTTGTACCTCAATATTCTTGATAGCTGCATCATGTGCATCCACCCTTTCATTTATTTTAGCATTGGATCCAATAACCTGCTGCATCATTGCTTCAAGCCTTGCAAACCCGTCTTCCTGTCTTCCACCCTGCTGTTGCTGAGGTGGGTGGTACCCTTGCTGCTGATTGTTGTACCCTTGTGGTCTAGGATACGGTGCCATGTTGTTGGGGGGTCTCATGCCTCCCATGTTTCCGGCGTTATACTGTGGCTGGGGTGGCCTGTACTGCTGCTGAGTCTGCTGACCCCAGTTCTGATTACCTTGCCTCTGACCCCCATAGTTAGCCACGTAGACATATCTTCAGGGTGCTGATGATGATGCTCATGCTCTGTATTCCAAGGATTACCAATTGGCTGGCTAATGCAAGATGTGCACAAGCCCCCATTGGTAGTATCTACTATATGAACCTGCTGCTTCTGCCCTGATTCCTCCACCTTCTTGGTGAGGATGCTCATTTGTGTCAAGAGAGTCGCCATATTTTCAGCCATTGTATTAGAAGGATCAAGAGGCACTGAGTGCACCACTGGAGTGATAGGTGCGTTCCTAGTTGTCCAACCCTAATTTTGCGCCATCTTGTCGAGCAAATTCTGACCTTCTCTCCAAGTCTTGCTCAAGAATTCCCCACCATCAGAGGCATCAACGATATTCTTCATGCTGTCTGACAGTCCCATGTAAAACCATTGTCCCAACATCTGTTCTGGAACACCATGGTGGGGACACATAACCAACATTCCTTTAAACCTGCCCCATGTCTCGTGTAGTGTCTCCATTGGTTTCTGTTTGAAACTCACAATCTCATCAATTTGTTGAGCAGTTTTGTTGGGCGGATGGAACTTGTTGTGAAATTGCTTGACCAACTCAGCCCAAGTTTCTATAGAGTTTATGGGGAGCGAGTTTAGCCAAACCTGAGCAGCTCCTGTCACCGAGAATGGAAACAATAATAGCTTGATTGCTTCCGGAGTTACGTTGGGCTGCCTTTGAGTTTTGCATATAGACAGGAAGTTCTTCAAGTGCTGCTGAGGATCTTCTGTTTGTGTCCCAGAAAAGAGTCCCTTGTTCTGCAACAAGTGTAGAATGTTATTTGTGATCTGGAACGATTCAGCTTGTATTGCGGGTACAACAATGGCAGTGGCCAGATTGTCAGCTGTGGGTTGTGCCCAGTCATATAGTGCATCCTCAGGCACGGGAGGTGCCAATTGCTCATTCCTGACGTTTACGTTGGGGTCGTTTATGTCGCCCATGTTTTGTTGGGGTTGTTGAAGTCTTTTGTTAGCACGATTCAATGCCCGGAATGTTTTCTCGGGGTCTGAAAGTCCTTCAAGTAGTTCTCCAGTCCTCATCGAATTTCTAGGCATATACCTGTGCACCCAGATCAACAACCGTCAAATTTTCAATGAAAAAGTTGGTAGAGAGAAAACTGACTACAATAAGAATCTTTGTATTTCTGTCAATAGCAATTAATAATTCCGTTAACTCCCCGGCAACGGCGCCAAAATTTGATCACGCCCAACTATGCCTTAGAAAAAGGACTCTGCGGACGTTGCAAATATAACCCAGGTATTACGCCCAGGGTCGAATCCACAGAGAGTTAACCTATCAACCACTATCTTCAGACCCACTAATTCTTTAGAACCAGCTTCCCAAATATTCAAATCTCAGTTGAATGTTCTTTAACAACTAGCTTGCAAGTAACTAAATAGTTGTAAACTAAACTAATAAGGTTGTAAACAATTATGAGGAAAAGCTAAGGCAATGATTTCCCCTATTGATGGAATCCCTTCTGTTTATGCTCATACAAATTTACCAACACATCTCTATCAATTATGAACGCTAATCTTACCGTAACTCTCTCCCGAGTAATCACAGTAATTTACTATTGCATTCTCCCGAGATACACTAGCTTAATTTATTTAGCACGATTCACTTTAGATTACACCCAAGGCTTCGTTATCCCTAATCCCGCCTTTAAACCCACAATTATAGATTCCTCTAATAATCTAGGAGTGGTGTTGTTCAACAATACCCTAAATATGCACTCTTTTCCAAGTTATGCACACTAAATAGGCACAGCTAATTGAGGATCCTATCAATTAACTACAACAAACACGAAGTTGAACAAATAGAGATTAAACTAGCAATTTGTATTCACATAAACAAGAAGTTCATCACCCAATAGGTTCCATCAAAACCTTAGACAAGGAATTTAGCTACTCATGGCTATGGGAAAATAAACTAAGATTGAATTCATCATAAAAATCAAAAGAAAAGAAGAAAGATGTTTAGAGTATTCTCTCACAATGGTTTTCCTTGCTAAGAAACCTAAAAAATCAATACATGCCTCTCTTGGGCGAAGTCTAATGTTTTAAATAGGGTTTAGGTTTAAAAATCCCGTAATTGACACTTTGGTCCCTGAAGTTTCTGCGCTTGCCGCGGTTCTGCCGCGGTCGCGGTAGAACCGCGGCCAAACACCCTCGCGGAATCCCTGAAGTTCTGCAGCTGCTTTCCACCGTGGTTCTGCCGCGGTCGCGGTGGAACCGCGGTGGACCCAGTGCTCTGAATCTTCGGCCTGTTTTGCATGGTTCACTTGGGAAATTTCACAGTTGGTCTCTTTTTCATCAATTTTGACTCCAAAACTGCTCCTTAGCCTTCCTTATACATATATCACCTGCAAATCATGAAAAGCACTAATAAGAGCGTTTTGTTATCACTTTTAGCATTAAAACTACACAAGAAGGTGATTATTTAAGGTGTGATTATAATCAAATTCACCTATTATCAACACCCCACACTTAAACCTTTGCTCGTCCTCGAGCAAACTAAACCACACTTCTAGGCCTAACTACTCAATGCATTGCCCCAATTTATGTCACACCTGCTATTGTCAAAGATCGACCTAAGCGGTGCACAATCATATCTCAAATGCAGACTCTCATGCCAAGACACACTTGTGCTCACTCTAATTACTCTAACAGAAGTGAAGACTCACTTTTTCTTCCTGAGTCACATGCCCTCACATAAACAAAATTTGAGAGAAGTTCCACACACATAAAATTCAACAACAAGGAACCATATATAGAAAGAATTCACTCACTCTCAGCAAAGAGCATTCACATGCCACACAGACACACCATAAGCTTGCCCCTAATGTAATACTCCACTAATCGAGCCATTCAGTCAAAGATCAAGAGGTCTTTATAGGTTGTAATGT